CAAAAAAAAAAAAAAAAAAAAAAAAAAAAAAAAAATCCCTGAGTAAGGAGAGGGAGGGGCCCTGCGGGTGTTGGGGAACAGCATTCCAGGCAGGGGGAACAGCCAGTGCAAAGGCCCTGAGGGAGCCCTTAGTGGAAGATGCCTGATGGGTGTAAGGAGTGGGCCAGGTAACTGAAGCCCAGCGAGTGAGGAGGTGCGTGGAGGAGGTGAGGGCCGGGAGAGGACAGGGCAGAACGTGCAGGGCCTTGGGGGCCTCAGGGGAGGACTCAGGCTTTTGCTCTGAGTGAGGTTGAAGCCAAGGAGAGCTGTGATCTGAGGAGGGACAGGACCTGACTCAGGTGCTCACAAGCACCCTCTGGCTGCTATGGGGGGAACAGACTATAGCAGGCAAGGAGAGGGGGCAGAAGATACTGTAGCAGTCCTGGGGGGCTTGGTGGTGGACGTGGCGGTCACGTCAGGGTATAATTTGAAGGAAGAGCTGACCAGCTCTAGGTGGTGCGGGTGTGAGTGTGAAAGAGGCTTCTGCAGCTTTGCACACATGCACTCCACACTCACACACGTACAGACATAAACAGTCTTCACACTCCCTCCCTCACATTCTCACACACGTTCTCTCTGACACTCACAAGCACATACACTTCTGCCATCTGTGTTCAACTGTCACCTCCTCAGGGAAGCCTGACCAGACCTCTGGGCTGTCAGTTCCCATGACATCTCACTCTGTCCTGCCATGGCTTTTACTCTGCAAGCCCCCACTAATCTCGGGATGAGCTTCTGGCAGGCTTGCGGCAGAGGGTACAGGTTGGGGAGGTGACAGGCTGGCAGGGCATGGGCTGGGTCTTATTTGTTTGCATGGGACCCGGCCCCTAGTAATTGCTCAGGAAACATGGGTCAAATGCATAAAAGGAAGACTAAAGGTGAACGGGATGTGCTGGCCAGGGGGCGCATGGAGGACAGGCACCTTATTGACCCCAGGGACTGCTGCCACCCCATCTCCCAGGAGCCCCGCAGGGTGGGGCCCCTCACCTCTGGGACATGATCTTGAAGGCGTCTGGCAGATAGCACTGCACGTTCTCCATCTGGAAAGGGTCAGCGTCGCAGATCTTGTCATCTGTGCGCCCATAGTTGGCGTTCTCCACCATGATGACGTCGCTGCCTGGGCACCGCAGCTCGATGGGGTAGCCTTCACATGCCAGCTCACGGCGCATCAGCCCAAACGGGAGCCCGGCCCGGCTCAGGCCTGCAGGGAGGAGGGGGAGGGAGTCACATCCGGGCCCAGGAGGGGAGGGGAGGGGAGACCCCCGCCGAAGAGGCGCCGCCTCCAGCTTGACTGGATTGGGATGCGGACTGTATGAACTTCAGTTTATTCATCTGTAAAATGGGCTTCTCAGTGTGCCCACCTGTGCAGTAAGGCCATGAACCTGGCCCAAGGAGTCTGGCCTTTGCCTTGGCTCCTGGGCGGTGCCCTCTAAGTCCCTGAAGTGTCCTGCTTGAGAAGAGTGTCTTTGTTTACCTGGGGGCCTTGAGCCATACCAGGCAGCCTGTGCTAACTGTTATGGGTTGAACTGGGTCTTCCCCCTCCCCAAATTCAAATGCTGAAATCAAGCCCTAACCCTCAGTACCTGAGAATGTGGTCGAATTTGGAGATGGCTTCTTTACCGAGGTAATCAGATTAAAATGAGGTCATTAAGGTGGGCCATTAAGAGGGCCCTAATGGGTCCTAATCCAATATGAACGGTGCCCTTATAAAAGGAGGAAATTTGGACCTAGAGGCACACACAGAGTGAAGACGATGTGGAGACACAGGGAGAAGATGGCCATCTACAAACCAAGGAGAGGGGCCATGTGGGTGCTGGGGAACAGCATTCCAGGCAGGGGGAACAGCCAGTGCAAAGGCCCTGAGGCAGCCCTTAGTGGAAGATGCCTGATGGGTGTAAGGAGTGGGCCAGGTAACTGAAGCCCAGCGAGTGAGGGAACAGATCCCGCCCTTGTGGCCTTCAGAAGGAAGCAACCCTGCTGACGCCTTGATCTTGGATGTCTAGCCTCTAGAACTGGGAGGGAATACATTTCTGTTCCTTAAGTCTCCAGGTCTGTGGTATTTTGTCACAGCAGCCCCAGCAAACTAGTACACTCACAATGTGGTTTCAGGTAGGCACTTTGGGTCATGCAGTATCAGCTGACCTCTGGAGGGGCTGGAGGCTGAGGTCAGCCATGTCTACGTGACTGAGCCCCTGTAAAGACTCTGGATACCAAGGGTCAGGGGAGCTTCCTGGGTTGGCTGTACAACATGCGTGTTGTCACTTATCATTGTCAGGAGAGTTCCTGCTGCCCGTGACTGCACTGGGAGTGGACCGCCAGAACCCCCGTGCATGGAACTTTCCTGGATGCTGCGCCATGCGCCGCTTCTCTTGGCTGATTTCTTTCTTTTTTTTTTTTTTTTTTTTTTTTTTTTTTTTTTTTTTTTTTTTTTTTTTTTTTTTTTTTTTTTTTTTTTTTGGCGGTACGCGGGCCTCTCACCGTTGTGGCCTCTCCTGTTGCGGAGCACAGGCTCCGGACACGCAGGCTCAGCGGCCAAGGCTCACGGGCCCAGCCGCTCCGTGGCATGTGGGATCTCCCCGGACCGGGGCACGAACCCGCGTCCCCTGCATTGGCAGGCGGACTCTCAACCACTGCGCCACCAGGGAAGCCCTCTCTTGGCTGATTTTAATCTGTATCTGTTCACTGTAATAAACTATAACCACGAGTATAATGGTGTTTCTGAATTCTGTGAATCCTTCAGGCAAATCATCAAAGCTGAGGATGGTCTGGGGGACCCCCAAACTCGCAGTTAGTGTCAGAGGTAAGGGTGGCCTGGTGCACTTCCCTAACTTCACATCACCCCAGGCAAGGTCCAGAGATGGTGCGGGAGGGAATGCGCTCATGTTCTGGAAGAAACCACAGAGTCTGGCTTTGCCACTTCTGAGCTGACAGGCCAGGTGTGTCCTTTGGACCAGGGCTTCTCCTGGTGTGTCCCAGGAACTAGCAGCGTCCACATCATGTTCAGAATGTAGATTCTGGGCCCCCCGACCCAGGCCTGCTGAATCAGAATCTTGGGGATGAAACCAGGAGCCTTTGGATGGATACACCCACCAGTGATTCTGATGCACACTACAGCTTGGACAGCCACTGCTGGAGCCTCACCAGGCCTCAGTTTCTGGATCTGTAAAATGGGCCACCACAGCCCAGGGCTGTACTGGGAGGATTCTGTGCTAGAAAATGTTCTTGAAGGAGGTGCTGTGCATGGTGCTGTGCTCGGTGAGGACGTCACAGGGAGGGGCCTCCTTGCTTTCACCTAGGAAACCTCCCAGGGTTGCCATGACAATGAAAGAACTTGCCAGGGGCATGCCCTGCTCTCAGAGGGGTTGCATTGTCACACGTCAGTCTCCATCCCATGCCATTCGGAGACTGAGAGCTGGGACTCAGGAGCCAGATGGCCAGGGTTTGTTTGTTTGCTTATTTATTTGTATAAATTTATTTATTTATTTATTTTTGGCTGCGTTGGGTCTTCGTTGCTGTGCGCGGGATTTCTCTAGTTGCGGTGAGTGGGGGCTACTCTTCGTTGTGGTGCGCAGGCTTCTCGTTGTGGTGGCCTCTCTTGTTGCGGAGCACGGGCTCTAGGCGCGTGGGCTTCAGTAGTTGTGGCACACGGGCTCAGTAGTTGTGGCACGCAGGCTCTAGAGCGCAGGCTCAGTAGTTGTGGCACACGGGCCTAGTTGCTCTGCAGCATGTGGGATCTTCCCGGACCAGGGCTCGAACCTGTGTCCCCTGCATTGGCAGGCAGATTCTTAACCACTGCGCCACCAGGGAAGTCCCTGGATGGGGTTTAAATTCCGGCTGGGCCACTCCCTGGCTGGTGGCCTTGTCCAGTCACTGACCTCCTCTGTGTCCCCGTTTTTTTCCCTAAGGAGCTGATAACGCCTATCTCACAGATCCATGCAGACGGTTGCAGTGCACACGGTACATAGTGAGATGGCAAGCCACTAATAACTATTATCATTAAGATGATTAAGGCAGCTAGTCTCTGTTGGACAGAGTGGGGTCAGTACCGTCCATGCCTGCTGGGGCAGCCACCTTCTTGGACACTGGTCCCAGCCAAGCCTTGCAGGGTGTCAGAGGGAAGCGGGGATGCACAGAGTGGCCCTGGGCTCCAGTGTGGGGACTGTCATTGTAGATGAAGAGAAGGCACCAGTGCATGATGGCAGCAGAGCCAAATGGGCCCCTTTTTCAAGATCTAGTGCCTCCAATGCCACCTGGGGGCCCAATGGGGTTGGCAGCTAGGCCCTCGGGGTATTTTGTGGTGAGTTGAGTCCCACTTGTGGGAAAGTTTTACGTGCGTTCCTCTAGCATCATCTGCTTCCGCAGCTAATTTTAGCCCTTCCTGGGCCCGGGAAAGAGGCCGGGGGTGGAGGGCTGGCTTGGATGGGTCTGGGGGTGGAAGCAGCCCATCCCAGGCCAACTGGCGCTGTGGGGCAGGACCTGGATAGGTAGAGAACATGGGTGCTGGGGGAGGGGAGGGTGCCAGCTGTCTGGAGCAGTGCCAAGGCCCTGTGACACGGCTGAACAATGCCCCCTTCACCTCTGTGGCTCCCCGGAGGGTGGGGCTGTATGAGGCAGCAATGGGGAGCAGGGTCCACCATGAGTGCCCTCCAGACAGGGCTGGGAGGGGCAGGCAGGGGGCACACCCAGGGCGAGGGCGAGGCTAGCGGGCCTCCTCTCTTCCCGCCCTGCCCTTGCCCCCGCCTGGGCCCACCATGGGGATTGTAATTGAGTAATCGGTGAGGGTGGGTGGGCGGGCAGGCTCGGGGCACTAATTGTGATGTGTGCAGGATCCCGGTAACGGCATAGGGCCGAGCCGGGTAATTAGTTGTTTTTAAATAGATGTCAGCGGGCATATGCTTTAATTAAACCCTCTTCCCAGCGAGAGCCTCGGAGATGTAATCACACTGAGAGACACACACAAGACAGAAGAGCATCGGCTCACCAGGAAGGCCTGTCCTAGTCCCGGGAGGCCACATCCCGAATCCCAGGCTCTAGGACCCCTGGTGGGATGGACCCTGGTGCTCTGGGTTGGGGGGTGAGGGGCTGATCCGGGGACCCCTTGGTGGTGCTAGGGGGTATAATCACCAAGTCGTCCTCTGGCCTGGTTCTGAGTGGTCTGAAGCGGGTACTGTAACGAGTGGTCGGGAGGTATTTCACTGTTTTATCCGCCCTCCTAGCAGGGTTTTGGAGGCACGGCCCCTCCCCAGCCCCAGCAGCACCTACCTTGGGTGGCTGAGGTGACCAGGACGGCAGTGATGCAGAGACTCCAGAGCACGGCGGCCAGGCGGGCCATGGTGGCGGCTGGGGCGCGTTCGGGGCTCTCAGTGGCCTGTGCAGGCGGCCTCGCCCCGCATCACCAGGTGGGTACCACGGCCTGGCCCACCAGTCTGGGGAGGACAGGAAGAGTGAGGTGGGGGCAGCGGCCAACCCCCAGCGGGCCTAGTAGGAGGGGTGTTTGGGCCGGTCCCCTCTCCTCCTGCTGGTGGCTGAGGGCTTCCATCCTGCAGCCCCAAGAGGGGCTGGGTGATGTAACCCGCTCGAGCCAGCCGTATCTGACAGAAGCTGCACCCTTGGGCCAGAGGCTGACCCCCTCCAAGGCCTCTGGCTTACACTGCACCCACCACTCCCACCCCACCAGATGGACCCACCCATCTGGGCATCTTGGACCTCCTGGAAGCACCTCCTGGTGTCTGACAGCCCCCCTTGGGTGGCTGGGGCAACGCTTCAGGCTGTCACAGCTATGAAGGGCCCACCTGTACCCAGGCAGGCCTCAGACCCTTCATCACAGAGGAGAGCCCTCTGGAAGCCTCTTCCCTGACCCGAAATCAAGACCCTGCCTGCTTGTTTCCCCCGCCCCAGCTTTCTCACCCAGCACAGTGTCCAGGGTGGGGGACCCAGGCGTCTCGGCCCCAGCTTGCAGCCTCTGGGTCTTGGGCAGGAATCCAGGTCCCCACCCCTGGTCCCCTGCTTCCCGTTTCTCTGGCTCTGGTAGCTAATTAGAATCCAGCTGGCTGGCGCCACAGATCAGGGACCAGGGATGACTGAGTGCCCTCTTTCCTCTCAGGGGGAACCTTCAGGGTAAGCTGGAGACAAACAGGCAGGGTGAGGGGTGGGTGCAGCCCCTGGGGGGCCAGGGAGGGTGCAGGAGGGGTGAAAGTTGTGTGGCGACCCCTGCAATTCTCTCCAACCCCACCCCGTCTGCCCATCCTCAGGCACAGCGGCTCTGAGGGCACAGAGCCAGGTTCTGACCCACTTCTCCCTCGTGGCCTCTCCTCTTCTCACTGCCTCCGTCTCCCCTGGGATCCTCTTGAGACTGGACACCCAGATCTTTACTTTTAGTCCTTTGCTTTATCTACACCCCGGTTCTCCAATATGGCCCCAGCCCAGGGGCACCAGCCTGGCCAGGAACTTGCTAGAAATGCACATTCTCTGAGGAGGGTCAGCACCCCATGCTTTTTCGTTTGTTTGTTTTTTGGCCGCGCCTGCGCAGCATGCGGGATCTTAGTTCCCCGAACAGGGATCGGACCTGTGCCCCCTGAAGTGAAAGTACAGAGTCTTAACCGCTGGACCGACAAGGAGTTCCCCAGCACCTGTGTTTTAACCGGCCCTCCAGTGTGCAAACCCCTGGTCTGTCCTCTCCCACCGTCACCCCAGCCTGTCCTACGGTCTCAACACCACCGACCAGCCAATACTTTCCAAATCCCTTATTTCCAGTTTGGAATCTCTCAAAAGAACCCCGACTACTGTTTCCCCCCCACAAAATGAAAGCCTAGCCGCCAGTCCAGGTAATTCCCTGTCCCCACCTCTGCTCCAGCCACTCCTGCTATTCCTCAACCATACCAGGTCCTGCCCCAGGGCCTTTGCACTTGTCACTTCCGCTGCATGCATCTTCTGTCCACCATTTATTCACATGGCCTCTTCCTCTGCTCCCTCACCCCCTTTGGGCCTTCGTTCAAATGTGAATATTTCTCCCTTTTATGGAAGGGCCCCTGCACGGGCAGTGATCGTTGAATTGCTTTGTTCTGCTCCTGCTTCTAGAACAGGCCTGACACACAGCAGTGAATGTTTGTTGAATGAATCTCAGAACCCAAACCTAGGAATCCTCCTCAATTCCTGACTCCTCTCCTCCCCTCCCCTTCATAAACTCCATCAGCAAGTCCCACGGGCTCTGCCTCCAAAGTCTCTCACCGACCTGCCCACTTCCGGCCCTCAGTGCCACCACCAGGACCAAGCCACCATCCTGCTGCATCTGGACGCTTGTCCTGGCCTCCGCCTCCCAGCCTCCCTGCCTCCACACATGCCCTCCACTCAGTGCTAAGGGAACATTTAATGATGTAAATCCGAGTATTAACCTCCCACTCTGCCCTCCCCTGGGGTCTCTGTTCCTCATCAGGGCCTAGAGGCCGCTGGTGACCCAGCAACACCATGCTCTCTAGCCTACCCACCTCCCGTTCCTAGAAGCTCCAGCTTCTTTCCGGCCCGAGCCCTTGCCTGGGCTGCTCCTCTGCCTGGAATGCTCTCCCAGCATCCCTGCACGCCTGCTGGAGCTTTTCACTATTCAGGGCTCAACCTCAAGGTCACCCCAGAAGAGTGGCCTACCCTGACCACCCTAACCACCCCCGCCACCCTCGCTTGCCATCCTTCAGCTCCATTTTTGTTTGTTTGTTTTTTGGCTACGCCACGCCGCATGCAGGATCTTAGTTCCCCAACCAGGGATGGAATCCTTACCCCCTGCAACGGAAGCACGGAGTCCTAACCACTGGACCGCCAGGGAATTCCTTAGTCCCGTTTTAAATTCACGGCACCTGAAATTACATTCTTGTATAAATTACCTTCCCCACTAGACCATGGGCAGCTTGAGGCCAGGGACTCGGCACAGGTTCTCAAGAAAGATTAGGGCAGCTCGCTCATGAGGCAGGACATCCCTCCCTCCAGGCCTGCCTCGTCTCATGTGAAACGGAAAGGTAGTTTCACAGGGCAGCCCTGCAGCCCTGTTCCCCAACCCTGACCCGCAGCAGCTCTCTGCACCCTCCCCAGCGCCCAGCCTTCAGGAAACTCCCCCGTCTACTTCCGTCTCAGCCCACAACCGGCTCTTATCCCCGCAACCCTGTCCAGATACGGCCTTTGATGGGTTTTGGTTCATTTCATAACACTTTACAACTTTACATGGCTGGGGGGCGGCACTCTTCACCACTTCATTTCTCCTGCACCCCATCTTCCAGCCATGGTCAGATGCGGGGGGTGGGGGACTGACCCTAGGCTGATGGATGCTCCCCTCCCTGACTCTCCCTTAGGGAGTTAAACTGGTTAGCGTCTGGTTAATGCTGGAGAGGCTGCTGGTTGCCAGGCTCTTGGGGCAGCCGGCCAATGTGGGTCTGGAGCCCAACCCTGCCATTTCATGCCCCGTGACCCTGACCCACTCATGCCCCCAGTTCCCTCGAAACCTCGGATCTGCACGGTTCTGGTCTACATACACGGTAGACCGGCAAGGGACCCATCAGAGGGTGCTGTCACAGCACAGCGAGAGTCAGGGCACGGGGAGGATCCATCTGAAGGAGGCGGCTTCTCTCCTCCTCCCGGGCTGCACCCCGGGACCCCAGGACCCCAGGCCTCTTGCCCGTCGACACCCCGCCTCAGGGATCCAACCAGCCTCATCGATTTAGACACCATCTGTACCGTGACGACTGCCACATCTGCGTCCCAGCCCCGCTTCTCTCCTCATGTCTACGCCTCCATCTGGGTCTCCAAGGCATCTGGAGCCTGACCGCACTGGACACAGTCCCCCATTTCAGTGCCTGGTCCCCCCCCCTCCTCCCAGGTTCTTAGGCCAAAACCCCAGGAGTCAAAATCTTGGGCCTCTTTCCCCCGCCCCCACAGCCAGTTCAGGAGTAAGTCCTGGGTCTGCATCTCCAGAACACCCCAGCATCCACCTGTCCATCCTCGGCAGCCCCCCTCCAGACCTGGGCATCACCATCTCTACCAAACGGCCCTGACCTCTTCCCAGCAGCCCTCCAGCCCCTCTCACTCCCGCAGCCCAGGCTCCCCCTGCCTCCCCTCACCCGCCACTGGCAGCCAGAGGGGTCTTTAAAAAAATTATGGTATTTTATATATATATATATATGTAACATAAAACTCGTCATTTAACCATTTTTAAGTATAGAATTCAGTGGCATTAACTGCATTCTCAATGCTGTGCCACAACCACTGCGATCTATTTCCAAAACGTTTGTATCACCCCAAACGGAAACTTGGTACCCCGTTAATCAAGAACTCCCTCTCCCCTCTCCCCTCAGGCCCTGGCGACCACTCATCTACTTTCTGTCTCTACGCATTTGCCTGTTCTGGGCATCTCATACGCATGGAGTCATATCGTGTTGGCTAAAAAGTTCAGTTGGGTTTTTCCATAAGAAGTTATGGAAAAATCCGAACGGACTTTTTTGGCTAATCCCAACACAATCTGTGGCTTTTTGTGTGTGACTTCTTTCACTCAGCAAAATGTCTTTGAGGTTCACCAGTGTTGTAAGCCTGTGTCAGTTATTCCTCTTTCTGGCTGAGTAATATTCCACTGTACAGCCGGACCACATTTTGTTTACCCATTCATCATTAAAAAAAAAAAAAAAAAAAAATTAAAAAAAATTTTGGGGGGGCTGCGTTGGGTCTTCGTTGTTGCGCACAGGCTTTCTCTAGTTCCAGTACACGTGCTTCTCACTGCGGTGGCTTCTCTTGTTGTAGAGCACGGGCTCCAGGTGCCACGGGCTTCAGAAGTTGTGGCGCACGGGCTTAGTTGCTCCGCGGCAATGTGGGATCTTCCCGGACCGGGGATCGGACCTGTGTCCTCTGCATTGTCAGGTGGATTCTTAACCACTGCGCCACCAGGGAAGTCCTAAAAATTTTTTATTGGAGTATAGTTGATTTACCATGTTGTGTTAATTTCAGGTGTGCAGCAAAGTGAATCATTTATACCTGTATCCACTCTTTTTTAGATTCTTTTCCCATAGAGGCCATTACAGAGTATTGGGTAGAGTTTCCTGTGCTATACAGTAGGTCCTTATTAGTTATCCATTTTATATGTACTAGTGTGTAGATGTCAAAGTTTTTGGGTTTTGTTTTGGCCGCGCCGGGCAGCTTGCGAGATCTTAGTTTCCTGACCAGGGATTGAACCCATGCCCTCGGCAGTGAAAGCAAGCAGTCCTAACCACTGGCCCACCAGGCAATTCCCTATCCATTCATCATTGATGGACACTTAGGTTGTTTCCACAGAGGGACTTTTTAAAGACGTCGGGAATTCCCTGGTGGTCCAGTGGTTAGGACTCGGTGCTTTCACTGCCGAGGGCCCGGGTTCGAGGAACTAAGATCCCACGAGCCGCTCGGCACGGCCCAAAAAAAA